TGTATTGTTTCTCTCCTAAATGTCATCATGTGGCGGTGCCTTAACTTCAATTTGGAGCCACTGTCCAAACATCTCTCGTGTACAATTCATGTAAAAAGAGTGGGGAAATTCCAGGAAGTGGTATTATCCCTCACGCGTTGCACTGCACCTCGCACGGGCACTACAGCGGCGTTGCCAAATTTGAAAAAATTGCTCGTAAGTTGCTCGATGTGGAAATCGCATAAGCAACAACATCAGACCGCGGCAACATTTATCAAGACCCTCGTTCAAAATAAATGTGGCTCGGTTACGCTCTCATGGGTGAATAAATGTCATGATGCTGATTTTCCCAATGCAAACCGTTTGCCAACGCTGATGGCCCAGACAGTTTGCTTTTTTTTAGCAAATGACATGGGCGAATAATATGAAGATAATGGCTCCTTGTTTTCTGAATTCCGATTACTTAAGTAATGTTCATAACTCTTGATTTAAAGCTTTCGTGACTGCAGGAATTCATACTCTTTGGGTCTTCGATTGCCTGTGCTGCGATCGAAACGTCGTGATCTATTATTTTTCTATCTACGCGACTTTACCGAAAGACCCAAAGAGGAATGCTCATAACATTTAGGCGAGGAAGTTTTATTTCGGTTTCTTCAGTTGGTGTTGAGAATCCCAAGTCATTGTAACTGGGCCCAAGGCTCTGAAGGCTACATTTCTTGTGATCTCCACGAATGTTCATGTTGTGTAAGGAACGGTTTTACAGAAGTCAAACGGAATTATCCTGGTAATGCCTACTGCATAGATTTGTTTGCATTTCTTTATACATCTCGTGTATTTTAGAATCGGCACCACTTTTTCAGCACGATGTCCGAAGTTTTGTTCTAAAGAAGCTCCCCAACACCCCAAGCAAAACGTCGGACATAATTCTGAAACCGCTCTGGATACAACCCGAAAACGCAGCGCAACCCAAATAATTGCGTCGTTTGATCATTTATAGCACTTCATGATTGATTAAGTAACTACCATTGTCTTATTAAAATTGTACTTAGTCCGTTTCATAAAGCACTGGTAGTTTAACACGTATTGTGTGTAAAGCTGCGTTATCGACACGTTTCATATTTGAGGATATGCATTTTGTACGGCCAATTTGTCAAGCCACTGCTGGATTCGGGCTTCTTCCCCCATGATATGCTGTTTGTAAGAATTATTTGACTTTCCTTCACACTGGTCAGTGTGGGTTGGCGATGAAAGGTGGGGAGCATGTGGGGGAATATAATTTCGGTACAACCAATGGATCTTGCTGCACAGCCCTATCACTTTACCACACAAAAAAAATACAATTATTTACACCAAAAAACAAATGTATGAAGTGACACCAAAAAGAGACAATATTGGCAAGCCTGTGACCGAGACCCGAGGTCACGAATGCTCATCGAACCCGCTGAAGAGCAGTGGTTGCCAACTTAGCGATTTTGTCACGAATATGTAGCGACGACTTTTTGGGTTTCCCTTGTGTCAAATTTTTGTCTAAGGGACGAACGACACATCTAGCTACTTTATTACCCACATACAACATTTTGCAGGCTCAGAAGCGATTACAAGTGTGTATTAGCAATCCTGTATCCGTTTACTGTGTGTAGTCCTCTGTGAATCATCTCGTGAGATGTTCTGATGACTTTAAAGGGCCTGTTTGGCTACATCTCATGACGGAGGTTCGATTTTTTTTGTTAACTTTCCGTTTTCAGGAGTTGGCAGCGCTGCTGAAGGGCCCATTGTGCAGACCGTGTCTGCTAGATGAATGCGTCGCTTGCAGGCATATTTTTCTACATGCTTGTACTGCCATGGGGATGCTTTGCATTAAATGAGGGCTTTCTGACCGATGGCTTTTCAAACTTTCCTGTTAACCTACCCCTATGTTGTGATTGGTAATCTTCGATTTTGTTTCTCTTGTCTTATACTGGACTGGCTGGGAGTACAAACCGGCTCGCATCCTAAAAAAAAAAAATCTAGACAACTTTATACGTCTCGATTTCAAAGATTAATAGAGAGAAAATGGATCACGGGCGTTGTTGTAGTAGCAGGCGGCAAGATTAAAGTATTTTAGCTTTCTTGAACCTTATGATGGAGGGATATTAATGTTGTTTGTAATCTTCGGAAAGAATCGACGTGCAATAAGCTATGACTTGGTCGAGAGAACAATCCACGTGTTTTAAACAAAATGTTGAACCCTGACCGGTATATGGGGCCTTTCATGTATTTGAATTACAGTGCTCAAATTAGAATTTGCGATGATTTCGATGCTGTTAATATTATTTTGCAGTGGTCGATTAAATCCGTGATCCTCGATATATTGAAACCGACGGCCACTGTGGATTGTGGATACATGGAATTACAAATTTAAATCCCAATGTGGCTTTTCAAGATACGGTACTTATTTTAGTCTTTAATTTGGGATTTTTCAAAGACCTTTCAAATGCCTAAGAAATCTGTGGACTTGCATGTTAATTTTTGGGCATGAATATTCCTCTGGAATCTAATTCCAATGTTATTTTAATATTACTTTTGCTGAACTTTTCCATTATTAAGCAATGGCAGTATAATGTTAAGCGTTGGTTGAGGTAGTTTGTCCACAGATTTTGATAGGCATGAAAAAACAAATGCCCTGGATAGTGTCAGCTCTTTGACAGAAACACATTTCTGATCTGATACTTCATTAATTAGTTAAAAATACATTTTAGGATGTTTCCTGTTTAATAAATGCATTTGACAAAATTACTTTCTCCTGGGTTTTTATTGGTGTTTGTGTGCCAACTTTTAACAAACTAATCCTTTCTATAAATGAGATCGTCAGACAAACGATGATTTCTAGATAGGTGACACTTTGGCTCAACCCATACGGTTTAGCCGCATTCTTATACAGAGGTATTGAGGTTTCAGGTCCATACGGGCGTACAGCCGTTTCAATTCGGGAAAAAAATGTTTTGTCTATTTGTGTTTCTCCCTTCTGATGGGACTAGGATGAACGTTGAGATTGATAAGGGCACCGAGGTGACCAATAAGGTCTGAATTTACACCAGCCTAGTCTCACATGGGTTGGACCAGATGACGCCAAAAGGCGCACAACTCAAAGACAATGCACCATCAGAGTATGAGAGTTCGGGGTAAGCATTTACAGACGGCTCTAAGGAAAGCTGTCTCGGGTGTGGACCAATCAACTTCAAGGACAGTGCATACATGATCAGAGTTATGTTTTTTGTTTGCATTATGACTGCAGGTATTGTGGTCTATGCAAACATGACTCCTCGTAAATAAAGATGTCAGTTTTGTTGCCAGATAAATGGGTAAAAACCCAATTATCAAGGTCTGAATTGTTCTGGCATAAGGAAGGCACTGATAAGGGGTTGACAGGTATGTGACACGGAAGGGATGATGGGTGGAAAAATCATGGTCACAATCACACCTGGCGTATGCCAATCCTTTTCAAAGACTGCATATAATATCAGAGCATGTTTGCATATTCCCCACGAGTACGTGTGGTTAATGCAGACTTGATTCCTTGCAAAAGGCATATATTTGGTTCTAGATTTGAAGCTTTCGTGACTGCAAGGATTCATACTCTTTGTTTTTTTCGGTAAAGTCACGTAGGTAAAGCAATCAATAAAATAAATGAAAACGAATTTAAATCACGACGTTTCGATGAAAGAAGCTTGTGTTGCCTCCGAAACGTGATTTAATTTAGTTGTTTTCATTTATTTTATTTTATTGATTATTTTACCTACGTGACTTTACCAAAAAAAAACAAAGAGTACATATATTTGGTGTTTGAACATCTTAACAACCGACGTTTCGATCGCAACGCAAGCAATCGTCATCAGGTGAAACAATCACAACAAGAACAAAACTGCTAACGTTTTGATGCTGTCCTGTTGCTCACGATTCAGCGTTCCCTTGTAATGCTACCCATATTTATGATCCATCCTGGACATGTGACCAAGTGACCTGTACGATGAGGCTTTTGAATACTTGGTGACGGCATTTAAATCTCGTAAATCTGCCGTGGCACGAGGTTATATCGGCAAGAGGTGGGGAGAGAGAAGGGGGGAGGAGGCAGGGCAGAAAGTGGACCTCGCAGTAGCCTCGCCGACAGAATTGGGCTTTCGATTTAAAGCTTTCGTGACTTTGGGCTTGGGCTTGTGAAACAAATGCGGTTGTTTGGTTAACCATTTGTTAATGTCCACAACACTGCGTCCAAACTGTGGGGTCCTGGCCAACACAAGCGGCGATATCGTGAATTTGTACGATATATTCATTCAAAGGCGCGTGTTCTTCGGGTCTCACGGCTTAAGTCAATGTAAGAACGCAGTCGTCCTGCAAAGCAAATGCATTTTCTTTGCTTCTAGATTTGAAGCTTTCGTGACTGCAATGATTCATACTCTTAGGTAAAAAACGTAGGTAAAAAATAATAAGAATAAATTAATAATAAATGAAAATACATTGTTTTATTTAGTTATTTTCATTTATTTTTATTTTATTTTTCCGTACGTGACTTTACCGAAAAAACCTAAGAGCATTTTATTTGCATTCAAGCTGCTGGATAGCAAGTTGCGATTTAAAATCGCGCTTTTGTTCTCCATCGCGACCCGTAACATCGAGAGATTTAATTCAAAATGTACAGCTTGCAATCGTCTTCTTGTTCTCTCGGTAATGTCACGTCGAAGGGAAATAATAAAAATAAAACAATCGGTATTCAGCGCGACCCTTAAGCGATTCCTACGAGATAAACTCCAGAGAAAAAGATCTTTACAAAGCAACAATCCACGTACACCAAGCAAAATTCCCCCCAAAAACACCAATCGATTCCAGATACGCCGACACTCAAGCCACAAATCGATTCCCTTGTTTACGCTCTCAACGTGTACAACCGCAGGGACCGACGGAATCGATTCCAAGAACTCGTTGCTCGCGTCGCACAGGCAATAAGGAATCGACTCGCGACAAACGTCAGTTTCGATTAAAGAGGATCGATTCTCCCCATACCCGGCGTCGGAGGAGACGCGAGGCGATGGCGCTGCGGCTCGCGGCTTCGCGTCGGCGGCTCCTCACGCCGCCGCTGCTGCTGATGATGATGCTGCTGCTCTTCACGCTGCTGATGCCACTGGCGACAGTCGAAGCCTCCAACAAGCCCGTGCTCATCGTGCACGGGCTCTTCGACGACCCCGAGCACCTGCAGGCGCTGCGCGGCTACATTGAGGAGGCGAGTGGCGTGAGGCGAAGCGCCAGTGGGGGTTGTTGATGTTTGTTGTTGTTGTTGTTTTGAACGAGAGAAGAGAGAGTTGTTGTTGTTGTGTGCAGTGTGATTGCGTTGTTGTTTTGTGTACTCCTCGGGTTGTTGTACTTTGTCGTTGCATTGTCCCCGGTTCGGCTGCCCCGCAATACGCCTGTGTCGGGTTGCCCTCCGCCACCCGACACGATTGTCACGGTCACAAAGGAAAAATATTTGTTTATAAATGCACAGATGTCAAACCCCTACGGGTCAACTCCGTACTCTTGTACAGGGAAGTTAAGTTGTCAGGTCCATACGGCGTACAGACGTTTCAATACGGGCAAAAACCACTGCGTTTTGTCTGTTTCTCGCTTGTGATGGGACTTTGTAGGATTGACGTTGAGGTTTATAGGGCCACGGGGTGATCGATGAGGTCTGCATTGGTCTGTGATAAGGCAGCCACTGCTAAGGGGTTGACAGGTAATGTCTGTGTGTTTGTGTAATGTCTGTGTTTTTCGTCATACGTGCCAACTTGTGTTTAGGGAAATTCCAACCGATAAAGATGCTCATTCTGAATTAAGACTTCTGGTCACTGAATGTAAACGTCAAACATTCTGGTCGCATGTTTGTTTAGCGCGACTGCTGATGGAGACCCAGACGGTCTGGAGTTTGGCTCTCTTCAACAAACACCGCCGCTGCTGCTGGACAATATTGGTCCGTAGAGCCAATCACATCGGCTGATTGGACTAAAGTGCAGTGGCGATTGTGTTTGTCGGTCATCATCGGCCACGATCTACGCACCGCGTGTTGAAGGGGTACCCCTGAGTGAACCACAATCCCTTGCTGATCTCGGCAAGCAGATAAACCACCGTCACGCAAACTCCGCTCATCTTCTCTGCAGCAGCGGCTCTTAGAGAACCACCAAACTAAGGCGGCCTCACCGCTCTCGCGCTTTCAGATGCGCTTCTGTGGCCGTCTGGAACGCTCTTCCTTTCGATATTAGGAAGCCGCTGCAAATGTGCGCTTTAAATCGTCGAGAGTGACAAACTCATTTGTTTAGAAACTCCTTTTTGTGATTAGTTTGTTGTCCTTCCTCCGCACCTCCGATTTAGCACGGTTGGCTACGTACGGTGCGAAATAAGTTCAAAATAACTGTTATTTTGCTGTACCTTTTTACACCTGATGAGGGAGGCTTGTGTTGCCTCCGAAACGTCGTGATTTAATTTAGTTGTTTTCATTTATTTTATTAATTGTTTTACCTACGTGACTTTACCGAAAAGGCCAACGAGTATGAATCCTTGCAGTCACGAAAGCTTCAAATCTAGAAGTTCAACACACACAATGTCACGCGACCCATCTCGCCACAACACAGGAGCTGCTAGTCTCATCCCTCCATCACAGCCTTGGACGACCTCTTCTCGGGCTCGTTCCCTCCATTGGCTGCCACTCCGTCGTTAGTCTCGACCACCGATCATCGTCATGATCCCTGCGGCTCACCATGACCACACCGCTGATTTAGCACGGGTGGCGAGGTACGGTGCGAAAGAGGCTCTTCATACATACACGACGCGTCCCCCTCCAGCCCACGTGTTTGTTGACAGCGAATACGTCTCTAAATTGATTTTGTTACTTAATATGTCCCAGTGTAATTCCAAGAATTGCATCTCTTGATGCTGCCCTGTTGCTCACGCTTCAACTCTTGTTCCGCTTTCCCTTGCAATGGTTCCCATATTTCTGTGACCAAGTGACCTGTACGATGAGGCTTTGGAATACTTGGTGACAGCATTTAAATCTCGTGAAAAAAGTGTCTGTTTTTATCATTCGTTTTGTTACGTTTTGGCTCCTTGTTTTGCTCACCCGGTGGTTCTTTATCGATTATCTCCTTTTCACGCACGTTGCCTCGAGCATTTTTGTGAAAGGCGCTATTTTAAGTGCATATTATTCTTATTGTTGTTGCCTGTGGCACTTTTTCATCTTTTGTTTTTGATCTCTTTTTCACCTCAATGTTTTCTCTTGTCTGCAGCTCCCACACATTCACCTCTACCATTTAGTTCTCTCTCTCATCTTGCTGATCTGTATCTCTTAATGTACTGGTGAGCCATTTCTCCCCGTGGGTCACCCCTAAGAGCCTTTGCTGGTAACATTTGTCCAGCAAGCCGCCAATTTAAGGACTCGGCCATAGAGTATTGATTGGTTTAATGGGGTATAGTGTAGTGGTGGTGTAATACAGTATGTGCGAAATACGATATATGTATCATGGACCTCCTTTGGCAGTACCAAAATATGATAATAGGGTTTTTCCCCTTTAAACCGGCAACAAAACAGGTGTTAAGATGTTCAAACCCCAAACTGAAACCTTTTACAAGTAATCATGTCTGCATTAACCACAACACTTGTGTTCACAACACTTGTGGTCAGAATGCACCGTTTGAGACGAGGCTCAAAAGAAAGCTTTCTCTGGTGTGGACCAATCGGTTTCAAGGATAATGCATATATTATCAGTGTTTTTTTATTTGCATTCTGACCACAAGTAGTGTGGTTAATGCAGACATGATTCCTTGTAAAAGGTTTCAGTTTGGAGTGTTAACATCTTAACACCTGTTTTGTTGCCAGAAAAAAGGGGAAACCCCTATTATTACGATATATGTACTTTACACTGTTAATATATTTTTGAAGTTTATTGACCATTCATACTGATGAGTGTATAATGTATATTATACAGTATGCACTGTGTCAATACAGTTCCTGTTAGATTTTTTTTATACAATACAATGAAACGTATTTAAGACATTTACAGCCGTCTGTTAGTCGACTCTAGAAATAGATTAATCGGTGAAGTAAATGAGGTTATAACTGTTGGATGTAAAGGCCTTCTCCAAGCCGCTATCATCCTATCATCTTTGCCATTTGTGAGATCGGTTGTGTCCTGTCTCGTGTGGATAGCCTGGCCCTACTTGGGAGTGGTAGTAGCTAGCAGTAGCTGAGTGGTCGTAGCACTTGGGAGTGGTAGTAGCTAGCAGTAGCTGAGTGGTCGTAGCACTTGGGAGTGGTAGTAGCTAGCAGTAGCTGTAGTATCACTTGGGAGTGTTAGTAGCTAGCAGTAGCTGAGTGGTCGTAGCACTTGGGAGTGGTAGTAGCTAGCAGTAGCTGTAGTATCACTTGGGAGGGGTAGTAGCTAGCAGTAGCTGAATGGTCGTAGCACTTGGGAGAGGTAGTAGCTCGCAGTAGCTGAGTGGTCGTAGCACTTGGGAGTGTTAGTAGCTAGCAGTAGCTGTAGTATCACTTGGGAGTGGTAGTAGCTAGCAGTAGCTGTAGTATCACTTGGGAGTGTTAGTAGCTAGCAGTAGCTGAGTGGTCGTAGCACTTGGGAGTGGTAGTAGCTAGCAGTAGCTGAGTGGTCGTAGCACTTGGGAGTGGTAGTAGCTAGCAGTAGCTGAGTGGTCGTAGCACTTGGGAGTGGTAGTAGCTAGCAGTAGCTGTAGTATCACTTGGGAGTGGTAGTAGCTAGCAGTAGCTGAGTGGTCGTAGCACTTGGGAGTGGTAGTAGCTAGCAGTAGCTGTAGTATCACTTGGGAGTGTTAGTAGCTAGCAGTAGCTGAGTGGTCGTAGCACTTGGGAGTGGTAGTAGCTAGCAGTAGCTGTAGTATCACTTGGGAGTGGTAGTAGCTCGCAGTAGCTGAGTGGTCGTAGCACTTGGGAATGGTAGTAGCTAGCAGTAGCTTAGTGGTCGTAGCACTTGGGAGTGGTAGTAGCTAGCAGTAGCTGAGTGGTCGTAGCACTTGGGAGTGGTCGTAGCCGGTTTAACACCTTTTGGCCATGTAGATGATAATGGGATGCTGGTTCCTCACTGGAAACGTGGTGATGTTTGAGTGCAAAGGCATCGATGTTGTTCACCTTCGGTATATTCGTGAGACGCCCACACTTCACCCGGGAAAGGCTCTAAACATGGACTTTAACAAGTAAACCCGTAAAAACAAAGTTTTTCACTCTAAATCCTTTATATGCGTGGCGGCTAGAGTCCTCTCGTCCTCTGGCTTGAGATGGCTGCAATCTATGGGTCAGATGATTGTCTGCCAGTATTAAGCAATTGGTAATTAAATATTTAATTTGTTTTCCCTAAACAGTGTAAAATTTTGGGAAAAAAATTTCACGAAAATTAATTGTCACACACAACGAGTCTGTGTGGAAAATGTCAGCTCGATTGGATCACGGGAAGTGGGTTAAAAAACGAGCGAAAGATTTGTACGGTCCTAAGCAAGCAAGCGAACTTAATATAAAGGATTTAAAATATATTCGCCTGTGGAGGACGCGGGGATCGATCCCGCGACCTTTGGCATGGGAAGCGAGGGCGCTACCAACTGCGCTACTCCGCCACGGCCTGTGGAGGGGTTACGCTCTGGGCTCCTATACTGTGACGTTCAGCCAAAGCCATGAATGAGTTTTATTTGAATAAATGTTAAATTATTTTTTTTTGCCTAAAAAGTGTAAAATTTTTGAATTTTTTTTCACGAACAATAATTGTCTGTCACAACGAGTCTGTGTGGAAAATGTCAGCTCGATTGGATCACAGGAAGTGGGTTAAAAAACGACCGAAAGATTTGCACGGTCGTAAGAAAGCAAGCAAGCACGCAAGCAAGCGAACTTAATATAAAGGATTTAAAAATACGTACTTCCGGGACATTTTGACAGCAAGTTTGGCCCTAAGAAGAACCTTTTTTTTGGCTTAATGAGTTATTCTGATCGGGAGGTCAATGATCGACATTCGATCGCCATTTCGATGAGATTGATTGTGGTTTTCCATGTAACAGGGTGTCACCTTTCACCCCTGGTTATAAATAGAGGATCTGGTCACGTGTTAATTTTGTTTTACTGAAGCTCTGAGATAATTGTGAAGTAGCTGGAGGAGAGTAGCAGGAATCAATGCAGAAAACGAGTTTCAAATGAAGGTATTGGTGGTGTCCCTTTTTTAAAACACTTTCCCTCACTGAGTCTCAGTTCTTTGGTTCTTTCAGTAAAGTCACGTGACTTTGCCGAAAGAACCAAAGAGTATGGATCCTTGCAGTGACGAAAACTTCAAATCGAGAATGAGTCCCAGTTCTCTCAGGAAAGTTCCACCTTGAGGCGTTTGGATACGTTTTCATGAGAATATGTTTGCATCTTTGAGAAAACCTTCATAACCGAACATAATTTTGATACAGCAGCAGTAAAAGTTGTAAAAATGTCAAGGTGCAGCCTTGCACACTTTACACCACCACGTGCGACCTGCTGATTCTCACTGTGGTGCACTCGATTATACTGCTGGGTGGACAGAGAAGTGGTGATTTATAAAACTTGACGAATGTCTCAACTGCTGCCGCCAGAACTATTACAGCTTGGCAGCATCTCAGTAAAAGCAACAATAAACTTTATTTCGTAAGAAGAAGAAAAAACCCATTCAGGCATAATGAGACATGGGCTTACTCGCCAAGGCTGTCTTGGCTTGAATCATAAGTCTCATTTCGAAATCATGCCAGTCAACACAAATCATCAATAACACAAATATGAACATCAAAACTAGAAACGAAGGTGAAATTGTGAAGGAGTGGAGGATGCCGGAGTTCTCACGCTGCACCCGTTTGCTCTCTCTTCAGGCCCACCCAGGCACCAACGTGACGGTGTTCAGCCTGTTCAACAACATGGAGAGCCTCAAGCCCCTGTGGAGCCAGGTGAAGGGCTTTGGAGCCATGATGGGCCCCATTATGCAAGAGGCTCCTGACGGCGTGCACATCATCTGCTACTCCCAGGGTTCGTCGCCATCACGCACACACACAAGCGCAACACATTCGCGCACACAGACACACGGTGGCCTCCGGCCGTTCTGCGTCTAAGACAACTTTGCAAGTGCCTTGGGCCCTGGCAGGTTACTCCCTGGCACCCCAGTGTTTTTATTAATTTATAAATGTTTGTATGCCCAATCACATTAATGTACATGTGCAGCCCTTATGTAACTCAATTGCGTCGTCAGTGACTCTTAATGCCGTACTGGTCCTGGGGTATATTTTCCCATACTTCATCACGCTGCAATTCTTTACTGTGAGTTGAGTTTTTAAAGCCATTTTGGGTTCGCCATAAAATTATCTGATTTTATCGAACTTAAAAACAATGCTGAATTGTGATTTAGTCAAACAACGCGAAACAATATATTTCATACTCTTTGGTTCTTTCGGTAAAGTCACGTAGGTATAACATGAAATAAATCGCGACGTTTCGATTGCAACACAAGCAATCATCAGGTGGGAAACCCACAGCAAGAAAATTTGTTTTGCTGAAGTGGGAGAGAGATGCCGTGGCAAGAGGTTATATAGGTAAGAAAGGGGGAGGGGAAAGGGGGGGGAGAGAGAGGTGGGGTGTGGGGTAGGGGGAGCGCTGCGTGAACGCTAGGAGATGGGACGTGAGGCTGGGGGGGGAAAGTGTGCGGGGCTGGAAGAGGGAGGCCGAGCGAGCTGGGGATACGGGGGAAGTTAACTCGGAAAAAATAGACTCGTACCGGGGATGATTTAAAGCTTTCGTTACTGCAGGAATCCATACTCTTTGGTTCCTTCGGCAAAGTCACTTAGGTACAAAATAAAGCAAATCACGACGTTTCGGGCGCAACACAAGCGTCCGTCATCAGGTGGGAAAGCCCCCTTTCCAACAAAAGTAGTCTTGAGACTCGGTATATCTTTCATGGCTAAATGCATTGATAATACTGTGGTTCGAAACCCAAGTCAATAACGTTGCCATCTATTGTGGTGGCATTGTTGCTTCACCTTCAACTCGCAGTCGGCAGGCTTTAAATTCTATTTTCAGTCCTAGTTGTCAAGTTAAGTTCCGCTTTGTTGGGAAGTCAACAACAGTTGCCCTCTGGAGAGACTGCCGCGGAAATGTGGACTTTCCGCATTGCTCAAGGCCGCTTACGGAAGGGTCTTTGCTTCTCATTAGTTGGAGTAGATAAACACTTCGACTCGACTTTGAGCAGTTTGACAGTCTGGGTTCGGGTTTCTGGTGACAGTGTTTGCTAAACTCATTGGCCTTTCCATATGAGTAAACACGCATCCACCATCCGCAAATATTTCAGCCCGTCTATTTAAACGTGTCAATTTCATGTGGCCTCCAGTGACCGTGCCTCCATGTTGGGCCAATCATGTTTCGTTTGGCTCCGACTTGAGGCTTTGGTCATTATCAAAACACTCAGTACAGGGAGCACTTTACAGTGCTCGGGTGATGTGTAAGTGTTGGAGGCACTTTCTAAAAATAAAGGACGGCGGCTTAAGTTGTGTCTATTGCAGTGTGCTTTCAGCTACAGTTTTTTTTATTTAGAGGCGTGCAATGATTAATTGATTCATAATGTACAGGCGTGTGACAGTTCATTGATTTAATATAGATGTTCGTGTTCACAATACAGTCATTGAATCGTGTTGAAAACAGATTTATCTACGATTCATGCACAGTTTCTGGGCATTTCGCCTCAGGTTTATGGAACAAAAGAGAAAGAAAATACAAACGATACAAGACATGTCTTAGACGAGACAGAACAAGTGATAAAGATGAGATGGAGAGTACAAATGAGGCAAATAGTACATACTGTATAAATGATACAGCACAAACAAAATAAATAAACAAAAAACACGTTTTGGAATTGTATGTATGTTGAATTTCTTTCGCACCGTACGTAGCCAACCGTGCTAATCCGAGGTGCAGGAAATCATGACCATGTGATCATGACCATAATTGTCACAGTCCATGTTGATAAGTGTTATTGGGAAGCCACTGGAGCTATGCACTTTTAAATCTAGATTGGAAACAATTTTTTTAACTGATTCTTGTGTTTAGTTTGTTGTCCTTCCCCCACACCTCCAATTAGCACGGTTGGCTGCGTACGCGGTGCTAAAGAAGTTCAACATACATCCACGATGCGTCCTGCACCAGCGCACTTGTTAGTTAGTTGACAGTCAATATGTCTCTAAATTGCTTTGTTACATAATTATCCATATGTTCCTCTGTGTGTCCCAGTGTATTTCCACGAATTGCATCTCCCAATGCTGCCCTAATGCTCACTCTTCAGCTCTTGTTCCGCTTCCCTTGTAATTCTACCCATGTTTCTAATTCATCCTGTACATGTGACCAGTGGACTGCGATCAGGCTCCGATGAAGCACGGTTGGCTACGTACGGTGCGAAAAATGTTGGCACTGCTCAAAGCCAAAAGCTGGCACAAAATAACAATTTCTTCACTCGCAGCACCATCAAGTTGTCATCAGCCTTATTATTTTCATCATCAGCAGTAGTAGCCATCAGCAGCCATCACCATCGTCCTTTCTGATGTGAACGAGAATCGGGTGTGTGCAACCTTGTGCGTTCGTGTGGTGGGTTTTCTCGGCAGGGGGGCTGGTGTGCCGAGGGGTGCTGTCCATAATGCCGAACCATAACGTGGACACCTTCATCTCTCTCTCCTCGCCTCAGGCCGGGCAGTATGGAGGTACAGAGACGTGACTTGTTCGTACTAACTACAGAGTCGTTGCTTACCGACGTGTGTGTGTGTCTTTGTATGTGAGGAGCGGGAGTGTAGCAGTTCGTGACATGCACTCCAAACCCAGCATCCCAAGTTCGATTCTCACTCACGGCCAACACCAGCGACGATTATCTGAACAGGTTATAGGCCTCCCCTAAGTCGACTCAGCCTGAAATGAGTACCTAGTGCGATGTGTAAGCATCGCCACTAGAAAGACAAAGGCGGCCGGGCGTGGTGTTGGCCACCCACCCCATCATGTGCCGTTCCGGTCTTCATAGGTACTTGCTAACAGCACTTGTCCCAACAGTCTGGTAAAGGTAATATGGGGGATCTTTGTATATGTGAGCCCGCGTTTTGTATTCTACAATAGAGGGGTGTTTTGGCGAGAAAATAACATGATAACCCACATATTTTTTTTCTTGGTTCTTTCAGTAAAGTCATAAAATATTATTATATCATTTTATTATATTTCGATTTAAAGCTTTCGTGACTGCAGGGATTCATCTTCTTGGTTCTTTCGGTAAAGTCACGTAGAAGGAAAATAATAAAATAATAAAAATAAAACATAATAAAATTATTCTCACGACGTTTCGGCCACAACGCAAGCAGCCGTCTTCAGGTGGAGAACAGGTCTGTCGAGAAGGCAGAGTCTGAATGGCACGCCCCAGGCTTGGAGCGACTATTTATGCTGGGATGGAGGGGCGAAGAGCGTCTTGACAAAATAATTTGCATATCAAGAGGAATTTAGCATATTTATGGGAAATGCAGATATGCGATTAAGTACATTTCACAAGTAGTACTAATCGCATATCTGCATTTCCCATCTCGCCACATTTGCAACAAGGAAGTGTGTAATATTGCAAGCAAACACATTACCGGTTAGATTACAATTGTCATACATAACTTGTCCAGTTTGCATAAGATTGTTAGCAAGATGACCTTCATTTGTGTTATGCGTTGTGCACACCTTTATGAAAATGGCATGTTTATTTCAATAAAAAGTTAAACAATTTGATTTAACTTTGCTTCTATGGCACCTAGCCAAGGCTATCTTGGTTAGTGTAAGATAGAAATATTTATTTAAGCTTTGCCTATAAGGAAGTTCACACACCCCCAGGCGCTTGTTAACAGCCCTGTAGCAGTGGGCAGAATATAAAGCAGAATTCCTTGAAAGCCTGCACGTCTTTTCAGCTTAAACAGAACAGGAAATACAAACCCAAGCATTTTGAATAACACCACCTGCACATATACACACGTTAAGTTTATTTATAACCAGGTGAAAGCCCACCGAGACACAGAGGCCTCCTATAAAGGAGACCGGAAACAAAAATAAATAAATCTCTTGTGCAGGAATACTTCAGTGCAGTAAAAACTACAGTTAGTTTAACTGATCTGCAACTTTTGCTCAGTGGGGAGCATAGGTGCGGGAGCATACAAGTGCAGTACAGTTAAGGATTTTGCTGCCCTGGCCTGCCCTATGCTGCCTACAACCCCACAGCCTCAAGCACCTGTTCTGATTGATTGTCACCCATCTAACTTGCTTAGCTTCTGAGATCTGACAAAAGCAGGTGCATTTCAGGTATTATTGTCATCGGTTGTCTCGGTTAATATATCTACCTACTTCATGTGTTCCTGGGTGATCCAACATGAGTTTTAAGCTTCGGCAATGAGGGATAAATACATTAAAGTGACTTTCGGCAACACGAGTGACATCACACTCCATTGACCTTAAAATATAATGGATGACATTGCTTGAGTGCTATAATAACACACTTGATGAAAAACTAAAGTCTTGTATCTTGAGTAATGGGCCTTTAAACTTGTGCAGTGTCATCGATTCAGAGACAGAGTTTATAGGAGTTGCCTCCTTTATTAACAACTTCCACGGTCTCGTCCACACACTCCCCACAGTAGCTCAGCCTCGCCTGTACACAACACTAGCCGTCTAACACCGACGGTGCTGACCGAGATAGCCAACTACTCTCCTTCATAGCGCAACGTCTAGCAGAAACGTTTAGCGACGACGGCGACGAGACGACAGCGACGACGAGACGAGTCCACCCCCAGAACCGGCAGCCTCGAGCCCCCCGCTCTCAGCTCCTTTTATGCTCCCAACGCGGCCTGACTCCGCCCTGACCGCGCGTCCCGTCTGGAACCCGCCAGCAGGTTCCAGGGGCCTCCAGACGGGGTCCTCCATGACCCTTGCCCCAGTTCTTCCGCTCTGCCCACACACCGTGCTCACGCTCACAGCGTGTGTACTGTCTGTTCACCACAGTTGCCGGGGCTGTCCACCAGCCGGCGCTATTACACTACACTTGTATTAAACAGCCTGGGTATGTAGCTACAAGATAAGGGCTGTCTGCTTTGCATTTTATCTACAATTATATTAGGCTATAAAGTATTTGTTGCTCACCTGTGTACAATTTAGAGTATTTGGCTGCTATACATTTCCATGTGAAAACCCACTTCTCGTTGAGCTATCATTTGTAGCAAAGTCGCTTAAAAAAAGCGCTATCTAGCTCAGTGGGCCTTACCTGGTAAAATAAAAAATAGTTTAGTTTTAGATTTTAGAATTGGTGTGAAGCCAACAAATGTGTCATCCACTCTTTGTGTCTCTTAAAATTATCAGTTTGCTAATATTAAATGAACTAGCATACTATCATGTAGTATATAATGTATGTTAATTGCACTATAATACATGATGTAGTATATAATACACGTTAAAGGAATTAGAACATAATGTTTGCATTAAATGAAATGGAATAGGATTCATCATTATCGTCATCAGCCAAATCGCCGCCATCTCTCGCGCGCTTGCAAATTTAATAAAGATAATTTATTTTGGACGTATTCGTTTTTTGGTGCATATCAGCACCTTTTTCAAACCGCCGTAACCACTCGTTGCCCGCTGTTTTATCCCGTGCAGTGGAAGTGACGCCAGTGGCTAATCGCGATGTGGTGTTCTCTGCCTGCTCACTCTCCTGGCCAGACACTAACTACCTATGGTGGCTCTTCCCGAAGTACGTCAAGTCCACACTCTTCCACTTCTGCTACACGGAGCTGGGCCAGGACGTCTCCATCTGCAACTACTGGAAAGGTGTGGCGTGGGAGGGCACATGGACACGGAATTATAATGTACAGAGAGCCCTCGAATAACATGGGACTGGTATTACAATGTTCCGCGTACAATGGGGGTTTCTGGGGAACTGCTAAATTTGTTGAATGTTTCGAAAAGGAATTTTAAACTTGCACTCCGGAAACTCAACATTTGAGCGGTGTTCCCAGCAGCGCGCCCGCTTGTTGTCCGCTACATTGTCTTATCTCCGTGGGGCGCCACGGTGGTGAGATGTTATATCCCTCACCTGGTATACGGGAGGTAGTGGGTTCGACCTCGACACCGACGCCTGTTTATATTTGGAGTTTGCGTGTCTCTTTCTCCGTGGTCGTGTGGATTTTTCTTCGGGTACTCCTGTTTTCCCCTCCACATTTAGAAGCATGCGTTTAGCGTATTTGGCTGCTATACACTTCCACATGATAAGCCACTTCATTGAGCTGTCATTCGTGGTCAGGTCGTTTCTGAATACAGAGCTGTATAGCTCAGTGGGCCTTAACCGGTAAAATAAAAAGTTTAGTTTTTAGTGTAATTCTCTGCAGAGAGGTCACGCGCCAGTGCAGTCCCAGTTCACTAATGCACAGAAACTACGGTAGTGGTGGATTGTGCGTTGCAGAATTGGTTTGTGAGTTTTGGGGGTTTCCGTGGCGTTTTCCCCCCCTTTACTTAACCATAGATTATGAAACCATAGAAACAATACGGAGTAGAAAGCCCCTAACACTACACAATAGATTAAAACTACCTGCAGACCAAGTCGGTTCCCATCATATTTTTTTTTTAAATTACTTTGACCATTATTATTATTATAATATACTTGTGTTTGAATGTAATATGAATTGTTAAGTACAAATTAAATACAATTTGTAAATGGGCTCGATTTTATCTTCATGGAAATAATGGAGTTTTGTTTAACATATGGCTATATCAGGGCACTCCACCTCTGAATTAGTCCAGTGTTTTGAGGTGACACTGTTGTACTCTATAAAGCTCCCCAAGCCATCACCATATCCTATGATGCAACAATCCAATTAGGATATCTCCATCACCACCCACTGTGGATGTCCACTGACACATTCCCTCCGTTGTCTGCTGCCCCATGTTTAGTCTCGACTATTTTTGAGGGACGTTTTATGTGGTAACCATGCCGCATGAGGATGTGTCCTTCACGTGTTAGGAGTGAAATCGATTTGGCTTATTCTAATGCGAGCGTGCCCTGTATGAAGGGTCCCATGGCTATGGTCGTGCACGGCTGTTATCCAGTTCTTCCGAGGCCATAGGTTGTGGATCGCGTAGATTTGTGAAACTCCCAAAATCCCACAGGGTTGAGACGTTGCCAGAAAACTGATCTCCTGGCCACCTCCCAGCAACAAATTAGTTTCCATCTGTATGAATCTTTGAGAAGTATTGTCAGGTACCCTGGTTTCCTCTTCATGCACAGAACGTTATTTTAAAAATGAATCGGCTAAGCGTCTCGAAAAACCTGAGACTTAGGCTTTTCAACGTGAATTATATCGTATTATGGTTTTTTAAATTTCATACTAAACATGAATCCCATACAAATCAGTTTCAATTCGATGCTGTTCAGAGGCTCAATCCTATGACATATGTTTTGCTTTAGAATCGTACATCGAGCTTTCCCTTACTTTGCGTCTGCTGAACTTTATAATAGTGTGTTTTTGCTATTTTGATGAGTGGTAAATCATTATGAGGGCCCCTCTTTGAAGTGGCGAACATTGATATGAAAATTCCAACAAGCCAGGCCCAGCTGGCAACGGCAGCAGACGGGTCACGGGGTCTCACAGCGGTGAGGGGGTTGTTGTTGTTGTTGGCGCGAGCGTTCACGACGGATGTCACGTGTGCTCGCTTGCAGACCCACACCACCTGGGGGATTATCTCAAGAGCAGTCAGTTCCTGTCTTTTCTCAACAACGAGAGAGAACACGCGAGTGCTGCCGGTACGCTTTAGACTTTAGAGGGAGGCACTAAGTTACCGCCCCTGCCATGTGACTTACCCCACCGATTTATACGTATTGTATTCTTGAACTTCTTTCACACCCTATTTTGCCAACCGTGGTCATCGAAGGTGCGGGGAAATGACAACAAACTCCCCACAATAAGTGATTCTAAAGAAATTAGTTTTTAATCGATATGATGACTTCCTAATATCGGAAGGGCATTCCAGACGGCCGCAGAAGCGCATCTGAATGCGCGATGCAGTGACCATCTTTGATGGTTTGCCAAAAGCCGCTGTTGTGAGGATGATCGGAGTTCGCATGATGATGGTTTATGCTCCTCGACCCATAATTCCCCACTTTTTTTCTCCACCTCTTGACAGGTGCTCTCGTAGATGTGCTCTGAGTAGGCATGGAACAGCTCTTCAATTATAATCAGTTCGTACATCGAGATATGCACATTAGAATAGACTTTTTGATTAATTAAATTTACATGTTAATGCTAATGTTACATTTAGGCTTGTGGTAAAAATGAAGAAGGACAAAGCAGGGACATATGAGACAGACAACTGAAATGAGTCGGCAAAATTGATTCTTGAAATTAATGTTGACCTTGGATTGTGATGATTCGTGAATCATGAGTGGGTAAATCATTACTTGCCGAGTAATTTGATAGTCCATTAATTATACAATGGTATTATTTAGTCACCGAATGCCTTGCATGTGACCATAAAGGTGAAAGCCCAAACACAGCTAAACAATAGAACAAGAGACCCAACAAATGAGTGAAAATTTGAGCAGATGCATTCGTACATAAACGCGACGATACAGCAGCAGCCCTTGCCTCGGCCGTGTCTCATCATCTCTTCTCCGTTCCTTGTGCAGAATGGAAAAAAAACTTTCTGCGCATCAACCGCTTGGTGCTGATCGGGGGACCGGATGACGGTGTTATCACGCCCTGGCAGTCCAGGTAGCAGCAGTGCTGCGTCTGCTGCGCTCGTTAAAAATTAGCAAAAAGACAATCTCCACACACAGCTCTTGTATTTGTGCGCAAGTATGTGGACAGTTTTTTTTTTGTTTTGAATCCGCTGCTGGATGAGGGCCTGTCCACGCCATGTAGCGGTTGTGGCGGTTAACTTGACCGTACTTGACCACGGCTGGTCAGCGCGGGCTTATGAAGGCGTGGAACAAAGGTACAGGAGCATAGAAGTTAAAAACAGCAATGGACTCTGCTCCATTGTATTTTGCTCTGGTTTTCCACTGCGGAATGCTGATTGTGGTGGGCAGCTTGCCTCGTAGGCCATATGTGTGTGTCATTGTCCAATGGGGAGCGCTGCACTACAAACCTGGTGACCCGAGTTTGATTCCCGCTCACGGCCAATACCAGTGACGATTATCTGAACTGGTCCTGGGCCTCTCCTAGGTCGACTCAGCCTCAAATGAGTACCTGGTACGCTGTGTAAACATCACCACTGGGTAGACAAAGGCATGGTGCTGGCCACCCACCCCCTTGTGTGCCGTGCCGGCCTTCATAGGTGCTCGCTAGCAGCACTTGCCCCTACAGTCTGCTAAGACTTTTGTGCCGTACGCCTTTTGGCGTCCTCTGGTCTAACACCTTTTGAGACAAGGCTCCAAAGAAAGTTGTCTCTGGTGTGGACCAATCAGTTTCAAAGACAATGTACATATACTGTCAGAGTATGTTTTTTGTTTGCATTCTGACCACAAGTATTGTGGTTAATGCAGACATGATTCCTTGTAAAAGGTTTCAGTTTAGTGTTTTAACATCTTAACACCTGTTTTGTTGCCTGAAAAAAGGGGAAAACCAATTCTGAAGCCTTTTGTCATTGTCCAAACTAAATGTGTTCATTTTTGTGTTCCAGTCACTTTGGCTTCTATGATGGCAATGAAACGGTGCAAGAAATGAAGGACCAGGAGGTACGTGTGAGCAGCCAGGCTTGGTCGCAGCAAACTTCTCTCTCTCCCCAGCCACAAAGTGTATGCTCTGCCCGGCCCTCTCGGAGAAAACCGCTAAATTGGTGTGTGCTTGACTAGTGGCAACTCTGCATCGACGCACGTGTTTACCGTTATCCCCACGTATGCCGTGGCTTTATTCTTGGCACTCTCGTTTTCCTTGAAATGCGCAATAATTTTCAGCAGGGGGATTGTCCAAAGATCTTAAATATACGTTCCATTTCTCATTCCACTGTTGGATGAGAGCCTATGTGTTGCGTAAGGCACGTGGGGGGTTACTCGACGCCACCATGCTGGTCAATACAGTATATTAGTGGATTTTGTTGCACTGCACTCTTCGATGGCGTAGCCCGGGAGCAGCCTATAACGCTTGTTTTATGCATGGTGGACGTCCGTCCAAGTACCGTCCATTCACACTCAGCCCTGCTTAGCTTCCGAGGTCTGATGAGATTGAGTGCGTTATCGGTGAGTTGATCATAGCCCCTAAGCATTACCCACCTAAAATAAAGTCTTCATACTCGGTGGAGACTTTCGGGGACAGTTGTCAAAATGTATCAGAGTACCCCCACTCAGCACCCACATTCGTGTGTCATGCCTCCAGGATTTCTCGCAGCACTCACCCACTCAGCGCTCACCCATTGCCGCACTCACCCACTCGGCACTCACCCACTCGGCACTCACTCACTCACCCACTCGGCACTCACTCACCCACTCGGCACTCACCCATTGCCGCACCTCCGATTAGCAAGGTTGGCTGCGTACGGTGTAAAAGAAGTTCAACATACAATCACCCACTCACTCACTTATTCAATCACCCACTCACTCAACCACTACCGACCCATTCGGTTATCCACTCACCCACGATTGTACTTCCCAAATGATTCACCAACTCGTGCACTCACTCGTGTAGTCAAAACACACCAATTCAAACTCCAACTCCCTCATTTAATTGCACACACTCTCCCACTCTTCGCTGCACTCACTCACGCACTAACCGGCTCATCTACTCACTAACTCAATAGCTCACCGCTCCCCTACTCCGCGCACCCTCTGCAGGTGTACCAGCGGGACATGTTTGGGTTGCGGACTCTGGACGAGCGAGGCGCGCTGACGGTGTACGAGGTGCCAGGGGTGACGCACACCTCCTGGCATTCAAATCGCACCGTCTTCGACCGCTACATCAGCAAGTGGCTCAGCTGAGCGATTACACCTTCATTGCCATCATCAATAATCATCTTCCACATCATCCTTTATTAGTTCTAACTTTTATTTTCACCGTTCTGATCTATTTTATCCTTTGCAGTGTCTTCTTTTCATTCAGGGTTTTACAATCACGACCGTTTTAACAGCATTATAGTGTGGCGTCCGCACTGTAGCAATGAACATTTGTAACTGTTGAGAACAGTGATTGGCAATGAGGTTCGTGTGTGTGTGTGATGTGACATTACTGTGGACCCTTGGCATGAAGTGTTTCATGCTCAATGGATGGCATGTTTAATTCGCTTGCCATCTCAAGTGCAATTTTGGGACCGTGGTATTGTCCGTACGTGTGTCGGACATTGTACCGTGTTGTGCATATCGTTGGCCGAATCACAGGTGGAAAATGCAACCACCCAAAAAAATCATGACAATAACCATCACTACATCGCAATGCCTATCCCAGTCTCCAACGCACGTCCGATTAGCACAGTTGGCTACGTATGGTACGAAAGAAGTTCAACATACATCTGAGAGAATGCATATCACACTATGTATTTTATTTGTAAATTGTGTGTTTATTATTGAGCGGTTAAGGCCTATTGAGCTTTAGAGCTCCTTTTCAGAAGGGACCTGGTCACAGGTCAACAAAATGGCTTATCGCGTGGAACATTTTCACAGCCAATTACTCAAAAAACCTGTTTCTAAGTCTCATTGCCTCTGACCTGGATAGATACAGTACATGGGCAAGTTACTATGAAAGCCACATTTACTAAGTTCACACCTGTGAGCTAAATGTCACAACAGGAAAGCTGAATCGGCGATCATCTGGGCCAAACTGTTGAATATCTGACTTCGTTTTGATGCTAATGGTGGTTTAGACAAAATATGTGTACATGCTTTGGCATGTACGTGGTTGATTTGGGGCGGCATGGTGGTGCAGTGGTAACACTTGTGCCTCACTACCGAGGTTCGATTCCTTACTCTGTGCAGTTTATATGTTCTCCCGCTGTTTGGCATGAGTTGCCTCCCATAGTTAAAATAAACATGCATAAATAACTGGAATTGAGCAAACATAGCAATGATAATTAACAAACCAAAAATGACCTGCAAATTACTTAATTGGGATTACACATAGCAACATAGCCTCCTACTGTGAAAATTCGGCATAATTCCTAGAAGTGAAACCCGATACTCAGTGATGCTTTCCTGGGTAAAAAAAAAACCCTTATGAATAAATAATACATTACACAAGAATACTTACATAGCTGACAAAATTGGATGTTTTTTTTGTCCAAAGTTACGATTTTTAGCATTTTAAATGTGTGCTTGGTGAGATTTATTAAAATTAGAGCTCAAATTGCACTTTAAGGAATGGCTTTTACGTCCATTTTATGTCTCCATCACTACCCATGGGATGAATTGTCAAGGCGATGCGTTTGAACCGTGTTTGTGAAGATCACAAAACCTGGCACACTGTCTCTCACTTGTGTAAAGGTCTATAAAGGTTAAATTTGTCTTGTGTTAAGCCCACGCATTACAGCCGAGTCACGCAAGCCAGCCGTTCCTAAATGAATGTGTGAGCAAAGCATTTTAAAATGACTCTCAGTCCAGTATGTTCGTAGACCTAGAGTAAAAAAAAAACATGAGAGGAGCTGGATTAACTGGATTGGCAGTTGTGGACAATTGAAATCAATGAACATTGACTTGTACAGAATTTCGTCAGTCCACTGCTAGATGATGAGGGCCTCTCTATGCCCTCTGCAGACTGTGGGGGTTGTTTGGCTAGAAATAACAATGCTCGTCAGTCAGTGCTGGTTAGTGAAGGTGGGGAGCAAATGCAGGAGCTCAGCAACAGTGGATTTTCTGCACTGCCCTCCATGTAACACCACAGCCTGTAACAAACTGCAGTGGTCTGACGAGATCGGGCACAGTCAGGGTGAGTTGGCCATAGGCAAATTAATGCGATAGCTTTAAATGTTATCAGTTCATTTATTTTCCGTGACAGGCGGAAGCCCCTGTGAGCAGCATGCGAACCAGTTGAACGTTTCCGCTGAGTGTTGATGGAATCATGGGACAAGGTCCATCATGTTCTTGTGTATTTAGATTTGCTTCATTGCCCTTTCTCTGTTAATTATTAACCGGCCACTCATAAAGCAGTAGCACAATTTATTGTCGTTTTTAAACCACCAAGTGTCTTTGCAATGCCGGTCACTAAGATAGGGTCTTGGGGGTTCCAGTTCATCAGTTTTCATTTCATCACTTCCTACATGGCACTTTTGTTCCATGTCCGCTCGCTGACGGTTGCATTTTCATTTCACTGCACAAATGTTCTTGCATACAGCAACTCGTGAGTGATCACCAAAGCAGAGTCTCGGGGGGAAGCTTGAACGGATGATGTCTTCAACACCCCTCCGCTGAATTTAACCCGAGGTTCACATGGTTTACGACGTGGGCCACGGTCGAGTCAGGGTTTTCCACGGTCGCGTGCCGCCGGGCTTTCTACTCAAATAGCTGGTGGCCGCGTCTGGTCATGGCAGGTACAGATTCTGTTCTGATTTTACTGCACTGATTTCATTTAATTCACAGCTCCCTTTGTCACTGCTGGCTGAAAGCCTCTCCCACACCACGTCGGTCACAGGGGGGGGGGGGGGGGGGGGCATTATTTGATCATACTCCGCGATGTTGGTCAGTGTGGGTTGAAGGTTAGAGGCATAGACGTTAAGGGCACAGGACAGTGCAACGATGGATTTTACTGCACTGCCCTGCGCTGTCCACCAAATGCATAGCCTCCAATGCAGTAGAAATGCAATTGGACCTAAATTGCAGTATGATTGCGTTGATTTGGAGAGCTGGCCCAACATTTTCATACAGAGGCTTTTCACACTGGCCGAATTTTTTACCTCGCACACATTGGTGATTTGCAGCTAGAAGTTATTTTTTTATTGCTTTACCTTATGAACCCAAATTGGGCCATGTGTCTGCTGTACGTTAGCATCATCCTTACAGCCGATGGTGATTTTTATGGGCTGGTGAATACGTTTGAATACGTTTTCTTAAAAAAAACATACAATTAATTTTGTATACCCAAAGAATCACTCAGATCGGAGGCTAATTTCGACCAAGTTTTAGAGCAAATCGCTAAACGGAGCTTAAATGACGATTCGATATTTGGGTTTTTTTGCACCAAAAATGTCAAGTATTGTTTACAACAAAACGATTATTTTTAACTTCTGTAAGTTTCCCCATCCACGAGTAATGTTTCGAGCATAGTTTTAAAAGTCGTCGCATGTTTTAAATCGGGCACATTTCTTATGGAGGGAAATGCAAAGTTGAACCTTTGTCAGTTTTTACAGGAATAGTGAAAAATGCGTTCGCAAAGTGATCGCAAAGATTTACGGAAGAGCTCTTCGTATTTTTGAAACATTTCTCAACGTTGAACAAAAGCGTTGTTTATAAAAAAAAAACTATTTTTAAGGAAGGAAACTTGTTTTATATCTTAAAAAAGCTAGTTTTAGCAATAAATCAGTCAAAACTTTTAACATCTTATCAATGCAAATTTGGAAACTACGGATAACGTTGGCTTCTGACGGAAGCGTTGACTATTGTGAAAGCAGACGGGTGAGTCGTACGCAAACAGTTGTTAACCATGTGCCTTTATCGAGCTCCGTGTGCAGCCGTGTGATGTGTGAGAAATGCTTGCGCGCTCACATTTTTTCCCATGTTCCGCTCTGGAGAGGTGCTGCCAGCACTACAGTGTGTCCTTTAAATACCGGGCTAAGTCTGGGGCCCGGGGTGCCCCAGTCGATTCGTCTTCTCAACAAAACTCAGACGATTCATTATAGATGTTTGGGTTTAGCCACGTAATAATCTGGCCATTTCTTTTGTTTGTTACCACGTAACCCTCCGGCCAACCGACAGAGCCAAACAAATCAAATTGTCACGTGTTGCGAGCGGTTTAAAAACCCGCAATATATTCAGTTGGACCATTCACAGTTTGTAATATTCTTCATATTGCTTGAATCAACCGCAGAAAATCAACGGCAGATTTCGGAACGCACGACGCAATGCTTGCAGCCGTGACTGTGCAGTGCCAAGCTGGGACTTGCTGATGTTTCCCCCCGCCGCATGGAGACACGCGCTGAACAACAAGCTGCTACACTTTTTAGCCCTGGGAGAGAGAGCGATTAAAAATATTTCATTTGGAGTTCCCCAAAAATTTCCCGCTATATATACGGTTCAATATTTATATATGCCCACATTTATTTCAAGGACATACTGTGTAGAGTGGCTAAGAAATGAGAAGGGGGGGGGGGCACACACACACACGTCGCAATGGGGATGTAGAGCAGACAGTTTATGATATGAGTACACATGCAACCACGACATAACACTGCGAGGGTGGCCGAGATATTTTTTTGTTCTAAGCACGGTATACAGAGAATAGTGCTTTCTACCCAGTGTAACAGGTGAATTACATTTATACATGTATATAACGGGCGATCACACGTCACAGTTAACAAATGAAAGTTAACGACAGGGTTATTCTCGGTACATTTTCTCGGTGCTCGACATTATCTGTTTGCCTGTGGCACCGTTTTTGTCAAGGCAGGACACGCTCGGACTAGCACTGCCCCACAGCGTAGTCAACGATGCAGCCTAAATAACCATTACAAAACTAAATTCTAGCAGATACGTTAGTTGCCAGTGCTGGCACTGGCACTGACCCTGCTGGTGAGGTAACTCCGACACCTCACCAGCAGCGCCCCTTTTCAATTTTTTGTTCGCTTGGTCAGTTTTTTGCTGTTGTTGGCAGCCCCCCCCCCCCCCCCCCCCCCTGCGTGTGTACGAGCTCAGGAACTACGTCGCTAAAGGTCGCACAGAACCGTGGTCTCTCTCGTGTTTGCGCCGTGACTTTGAAACGGACTGCGACAGCGCATCCGCTGGCACTGTTTTAATCCACCTTCTTGCCAAGGCATCATTCGACAAATGTAGATTGTATTCGCGCTTGGCTACGCTTAAAGAAGTGTACAATTAGAGTGAGTGCAAGTGACCGTGGTCGAATACTGAGCCGGCACCGTCGAGGTCCCTGGGTTCAAATCTGAGCAGCCACCCCCATGATTGTTAACTAAACCAGGTTCTCAAATGTAACGAGTTGATCATTTCAGCCTGGTCACCAGTGACTGCACAATTAAACAACCATATTAAGTTTGGTTGTTAATTTTAACCCTCTCGTGCATCGTATCAGCCGTGGTGACCACTTTGAAATTCTACAAAACACTTTGAAAATATTTTGGGGGCTTTCTTTTGACTCCTAAAATTACATTGTACCAAAGTTGGTTTGGGTTTCCCTTCAATAATCCACACGTGACGACTGAATTGTTTTCCTTTTTAATTGCCGTGTGACAAACACCTCCACTGCAGGGCATGGTGGTGGAGAAGGTGACCACCGCCTAGTGTGGCTGAGTCCACCTAGGGGAGGCCCAGGAACCGGTTCAGATATTCGTCACACACTCACACAGCCTCACACTTGCACATGTCGCCACCCTCTCACTCTCACACCCTATCACTGTCATTTGCCCTCTGTGGAAATTATCGTGGCATCGAAAAGTGGCGGTCCGCACGGTGTTTGAGGTTGTGAGAAGCGCCGCCACGGGCGAAACGTTCCGTGCATCTCGACAGACACACCGCCCCGCACACATTCAGTCGGCTCGTGCAGTCGTTGAACCGTTATTATTTTGTCGATTTTTACCACAAGCTGATTTTACCATCGGCGAATACTGATGATCTATTGTGGATTCACATATGGGAAGAGGATGAAGGGAAATATGTTTGTCGTGTGTGTGGGGTTTATGGCCGTCTTCGTTGATCACACGTGGTTACTCAATGCACATCTGAAAATGTGTTCACGGCGTGTTGTAATCTGGGCATTAATTCGGGCGAGGCGATTTTTTTTGTGTTCTTTGTCTGTACGTTAATTTAAAAAAATTGTAGATGTGAAAGAGGAGAGAGCTTGGATGAATTAAACTTTCAAAGCGTCTTGTGAAATCTCGCACCGTGTCTTGCTGTTGCGTTAAATTCCCCGTTGTGGACAACACGTGAGCACAGTTGGCTACGTAAGGCTGCAAGAGAAGTTAAACGCACATTCACACAAACGCCGTTTCAAGCCAGGTCGTGAGACCTCCACTCGCTTGTCTTAGGGCCTCTATTTTATTTTTAACTCGACCTTCATGTGAATAGCCGTCACTTCTCTTGCATGCAAAGTTTTAGTTTTGTTCCTAAAAAAATTGTTATTCACAGATTTTCTGAATTCAAATAAATGGAAAAAATAATGGAATTTAGTTCACCTTCATTCATTTGTGGAACCCCACGGAGTCTTTTACAGGAAATGAAACAAGGTTGTGCAGTGCGTTAAAATTGCAGATTCCACTGTTGGATGACGGCCTCCCCACACTGTGGGTCATGGGAGGTTATTCGACCTGACTTCACACACAGGTTTGTTTGGGTCGGTGAAGGGGGATACCAGGCCCAGTTCAGATACCGCTCGACCATGAATGGGGAGCCATGAACCACTGCTGTGGTTCACGGTGCAGTGAGCTAAACACGTTTTACATTGATTCCCATTATTCCCAAAGTGTACAGTCTGTTATATAACGCTGCGTGTTTTCACGACGCAAATTTGATATAACGCGATGATGAATGTATGAGGGAACATTTTTTTTTATATATAACGTGGAAGCTAATTTAATATAACGCGATTTGAGTGAAGGTAACTCCGTCGCGCGAATCGGAATCAGCGGTCGTATGGCTGCTCGGGGTAGCATCACAAGGCAGTGGGATGCTGCTGGATGCTTCTAGATGCCACCCACGTGCCTCAGTCTTTGTTCGGCCTGCTTACGCATCTCACGTGTTATCGCAGACTGTGCTTAACCCGACATCTGCATGAACATCGCGTAATAGGAGAACAGACTGTATTAATAAAAACAGTTCACAACTTAATTTTGGAGCTTTCGTGACTGCAGGAATTATTCTTTGGTTTTTTCGGTAAAGTCACGTATAAAAATAAAATAATAAATTAAATAATAGCATACGACGTTTCGATTGCAACACAAGCAATCATCATCAGGTATAATGAAATAGCGACATAGAATATAACCAGAAAACTATAGACAGACATATAAGCAGACAGATATCACCAAGATACATAGAGAGAGCAACCCAGGTACAGAGAGAGGTGATCGTCTCTGTGGGGTGGCCTTAAATAGACAGAGGGGGGCGGAGGCAGAGAGAGGGAGGGGGTAGGGAAAACATTTACATGTCAATGAGTACGAAGGGAGGGGAGTAAGGTAAGCAGGCTTAGAGGTAAGCAGGCTTAGAGGGAGCCTGCTTACCTGCTTACCTTACTCCCCTCCCTTCGTACTCATTGACATGTAAATGTTTTCCCTACCCCCTCCCTCTCTCTGCCTCCGCCCCCCTCTGTCTATTTAAGGCCACCCCACAGAGACGATCACCTCTCTCTGTACCTGGGTTGCTCTCTCTATGTATCTTGGTGATATCTGTCTGCTTATATGTCTGTCTATAGTTTTCTGGTTATATTCTATGTCGCTATTTCATTATACCTGATGATGATTGCTTGTGTTGCAATCGAAACGTCGTATGCTATTATTTAATTTATTATTTTATTTTTATACGTGACTTTACCGAAAAAAACCAAAGAATAGTTCACAACTTCACGGTGTGTATTGTGAGCTCAAGAATCAAGTATCGATGCGTCGTTACATGCCCACCGACAGGCGTGAGCAAGACGCCTTCATCATCAGCCACGATCCATCCACTGCTGGATGGAGGCTTCGAGATGTCAAATGTCCCATGATGTATCAACGTACAGTCGTTCCTGCACGCAAGCGAAGTTAATCGCTCCGTCTTCCCTCTGGCTGCCACTCTTGACGTTAACCTTTGACCACCGCCCATCATTCCGAAAAGCAATGTTGTATCATGCCCAAGCACACAGTATTTTTATCATTCAGCATGGTGTGTCGAACTTGGCATATGCTATTGTGGTTCTTTCGATAAAGTCCCGTAGATAGAAAAAAGTGAATAAAAATAAAATAAAACAAACCATTAATGTAGACTGTAGCCTGGTTCTTAATAGAAGTGAGTGTACAGGCAGTCTATAATGTAGACTGTAGGCCTGGTTCTTAATCAGAGTGAGTGTAATGGCAGTCTATAATGTAGACTGTAGCCTGGTTCTTAACCAGAGTGAGTGTACTGGCAGTCTATAATGTAGACTGTAGCCTGGTTCTTAATCAAGGCGAGTGTACATGCAGTCTATAATGTAGACTGTAGTCTGGTTATTAATCGGAGTGTACTGGCAGTCTATAATGTAGACTTGTAGCCTTGGCTCCCTAATCCATGCGCACCTATTTGTCTCCGTGTAATTCTCTGCGTGCTTCTTACTTTCAGCTTCTGTTCTATTTTCCTTGTCAATGTTCATGTTTTTGATCCACGTCAAAGCATGCCAAGTTGCACTTAATAAAAGCAATTCAACCAAATGTCTGCGAATCCCAGGCATTTATTATTAACGGAGGTGCAGTTGTAGTAGCATGGTTAGGCATTGTGTATATTTCCATTCATCCTTACCCGTAGTCGTGGACGAGTCAACAGGGGGTGGTAGGCTGGATAGGTAGGATGAGCCGGGCCCTTGGGCCACTCGGGTCCCCAGACCCCACGAGGGGACTGGGGGATATCCCAGGGCCCCCTAGAGAGTTCCAGAAGGGAGGCGGAGCTCGGGGGCGGACAGACCTTGGAACGGGTAGAAAAACCGGACCCCTCAACGGGTCCGGCAGTCCTCGTCCACCTGAAGAGCTGAAGAGCTACACTGAAGAGCTGAAGAGCTACACTGAAGAGCTGAAGAGCTGAAGAGCTACACTGAAGAGCTGAAGAGCTACACTGAAGAGCTGAAGAGCTGAGCGAAAGCCCAGTGGGCAGAACCCAGACCCTGCCTACGGTCGGGTTCAGATCTAACCAGTGTAGGGTTAGCGCTGTAACCAGTCAGGGCACGTTAGTCCGGAGGGGGGCTACCTCCTTAGGATATCGCGAGTGAGGGGCACCGTTACCCCCTCTGTGTCATGTTCCCGAGTTGTAATGAACGTGTTGCCTCTAGCGAACCGTCCCCCTCGTCTTGGAGCCACTACACATTGAAGATTTGATCAAACGCTACTTTTTGCACAAAAATCCCAAAGCCTACATTTGTAATTATTGAACGGAATGGACATAACCACAGTCGAAATGAAATGACATACCCATAATGCTCTGTAAAAAATATTATTTCATCAGCACGCCGCAATCACCGCCAAAAACGGTTCAACAGTTGTTGAGTAAAGCATTCACTTTATTGAAATACCGGACACAGTAAGCAATGATTTGTCAAATAAACACGATACTGTAATAGTGTAATCGACAAGATTTAAAAACTTGCACGGATCATTTATAAACATTTAACATTTCGTACGAAATTTCACAGGGTGATTAATTTATAGATACCCCACTAAAATGATAGAAACTGGAAAACATTTTATTACAAAGCCTCTGCACGTCTCCCGCCAAACTCGAGACGTTAATTAAACCTTTGAATATTCTCTATGTGAGATACGGAGCCATCGTTATCACCATATGCAATCGGCTGTTGTGAAAAAGTCCATCATTAGAAATCAGTGGGGTATCTGGAAATTGATAACTGCATATTGGCACATTCCCATTTAGGTCCCTCCTTCCAGCTGGTACTTCCTGTGATAATCTAGACACGAGCTCAGCACAAACAAAAACACCAATATTATTTTGTGACACCACATGAGATCATTGGCACCACACATCTCTGTGGCTTCATCATCGAGATTCCAACGCTGCTGCGCAGTTGACACCCCGCCCAACACAGTCCACTCGACATCCCGCGTCTTGGCTTTCGGCCTCCCCGCACTGGTCGCCGACCTCTGGGTGTACAACACATCAGGACATTTCTGCCTCAAAGGGTGAAAGGTATTCACAACGTAGGAAGGGCTCATGGCACAGACGCAAGACTGGATCCCCACGAAATGAAAAGTGGAGTTGCTTGTCGTTGCTTCAAGCCCCACGCTGGAGGCGATCTGACCCAGTGTCTTTCCCCAATATATAAGAATAACTTTTACCCTTTCTGGCAATAAAACAGGTATTAAGGTGTTAAAACACCAAACAGAAACCTTTCGCAAGGAATCATGTCACTGTTTGAGACTAGGCTCTAAAGCAGGGGTGGGGAACGTCCGGCCCGCGGGCCGTGTAAGGCCCGCGAAATCATTTGGTGTGGCCCTGCAAAGGCAACCGCAGGCGGGACTCGAAATTCAATAAATCTAGGAGCAAACCTGGAAAAGCAGTTGCGAGTAGCAACATCATCCATACCAGCTAACATCACACGCATCGCCAAAGACAAGCAGTTCCAGCCATCA